CAGAAAACTATGGGCAATTTAGTACAGCCAATTCACCTAGCTTGCACATTTTTGGACTGTGACAGGAAATTGGAGCACGTGGCTGAAACCCACGCAGACACAGGGAGAATGTACAAACTCCACACAGACAGTCACCTGAGGGTGGAATTGAACCCAGGTCCCGTGGCGCTGTGAGGCAGCAGTGCTAACTGCTGAGCCATCGTGCCACTTCCTTAGTACCCGAGAGTGACAATCTTGATTATTACATTCAAATCCTGCAGTGAAAGTTTCACTATCAACCTAACTGAAACACACAAATGTTATGAACTGAGCCATGGCTGGCACTATAAAGGATTCAAAGACTGCTTTTCTAGGCAGTGTAAAATAATAAGCAATCACCTCAAGAAATAGAAACAATGAGAGCGGGAAAGACTAGGAATATCCTGCTAGTACATTAATCAGCCTTTTCTTTTTCCCACTTGGGCACCACATAAATAAAATATAGCTTGAGGAAGCAGAAAGCTCAATGAGAATTTACTGGAGATAAAATAGGTCAACAGTAACCTAATGTTAAAAAAAAATCAGCATGCGTTAATTGAAATAGATGCTGTAATTAAAATTTAGATATTGGCTGCTTTAATTGTTCAGAGACAGTCTTCTGCTGAGCAAAAATCTAAAATTACTGCCTTTGAGTTGCTGAATGCCTAGTCTTTGGCCATATATTCACAATTACACTTGAGCAGCTCTTGATTTGCACAGCTTTTTCTCACCTCCACAACTAACACATTAATTCCCATGAAAAGATATACTCTTAAATCTTAGACAACAAGGTGCAGAGCTGGATGAACACAGCAGGCCAAGTAGCATCATAGGAGCAAAAAGGCTGGCGTTTCGGGCCTAGTCCCTTCCTCTTAAATCCTGGCTGCTTCCTTTGGTCTGCTCCCATTTTCACTCCTTCAGGTCCAAGGGATTCAGACTTGATGTTTTGATTACCACGTTTCAAATCTCATTCACTAGTTTGTCATCCAGTTTTTATTGTCTCTCTTGCAAAATATCATGAATTGTCAATGCTAAAGACACATAAAAACAAGTTGCAGCTGTAAGCTTGTTTTATAAAAGTGGTAATGATCAATTAGCAAGTGTCTGTGCGTAGTATCAGGGAACAGCTCACAGTGGGTATTCATAACAAGAAAATGAGGTTCTCAAGTCACGGTATTAAGATATTGCAGCAGGGTTTCATGGGATTTTCAGAAGAGGTCATCAAGACTGACGCAATAGGGCAACTCGTTTAGAGCTCTATTTCCAGACTTATTTTTAATATATTTTAATATATTAATATATAATGATTATTAATTACTGCTGACAAAACCAAGTGCAGTTCTCAATAAAGGTGCAATCCAAAGCCCGAGGATATGATATAAAAATGCAGAGTGGAACCAAGTAACCACACAACAAAAAAGAAAATGCTCAGTTTTTCTTAGGCAAATGCATTGAACAAAGGAAAAAAGGCCATATGGCAATGCTAAGACACGTAACAGCTGTCCACACGTCTTTCAAGAAAGTAACCAGTCAAATCAAGAAAGCTCCTTTGTGAAAAAGATCAGTTTAATTAAGTCAGTGGTCTCAAAATTAGCAATAATACAACTCTATGACAGTCTGCCAGATGAAACCATCAAACCATTTGCTGCAAAAATGTAATACAATAGAGCACTTCAGCTGCTTCATTGTGGGCAGTGAGCAGACTGCAGATGCACATTTCCACCCATCTGCAACCTGACCCTGTTTATAGATTGTCCTATAAGCAATGAGAAACAGAGATCCTGGTCATATGCAGCTCTCCGATTATTCAATTTAAAAATAAAATTTTATTTTATTTGAAGCAAAACACACATATTTGTAGTTAAAAAAAGCATTCATGGTGACTTCATTCAAAAATACCAACAATAAACCTTGTCACGGAGGAGTTAAACACTAATTCTTTCCATCACCATACTAAGTTTTAAAACTTAGATAGGGAAGCAGAAAGTAAAAAGGTTTCATTGATACCAAATGCCATTGGGCATTCCTGCCAGTCAGCTAAAACTAATGCTGCTAGTTGCATGAGAAAAGCTGGCTTCTTGCCCTGCCGCTGCTTGCAGCATTGATAACCTTGGAAATCTGCCATTGTAGCCATGGAAATTCAAAGAAATATGCTGTTCCTTCTCCATCAGACAAAAAACGTAGAAAATAAATTGTCACTTGGCTACAGCTTGTGGAGTCACTGAGGCCTCTGTCCAGTGACCATAAAACAGAAACTTGCCTTTTCCAGCCAAACGTCAAGCATTTTACAGTCAGTTAAGTTCTTTTAAAAGTGATTGTACTGTAGTAAACTCAGCAGCCACAATGCACATGGCAAAGAATGTGTTATGACAGGGAAATTTGGTTTTGTGATATTGATTGGTCAGGACACCAGGTAAAATTCCTCTCCGCTTTTTGACTTTCATTCTTCAGAACAGGACTTAAAACTTTAACTCTCCTTTCTCTCCACAGCTGCTGCCAGTTTGTTTGTTTTTTTATTTCAGATCCCAGGATCTGCAGTTTTGTGTTTTATTTTATGTAGTGCAGAATGTCACAGTCAGTTCAACAGGCTAAATGACCTACACCTACTCCCATTTTCTGTTTCTAAAGTGCACCTCAAGATAAAAGCTACACCATTCACAGATAATGTCACAAAACACATGCAAATTGCCAGGGATATCTGGAACATATTCCTCAAAAAGTCATTGAGCTTAGGTTAATTGAAAAAGTCAGACTTGATGATTAGTGGATTTTTGTTAGTAAAAATGTATTGTGGACATAGAAAACTCAAGTGAAGTGAATCAGCTACACTCTAACTGAACAGCAGAACAAGCCCTGAGGACAAAATGATCTGTTCTTGTTCCTATGGTCTCAATTCAATTCGTTTTGCTAAGAAGGGAACACTTCCCTTATGTACTTTTCCTGCAGCTAGGTCTGTACCTCCTTTATTAAACTCAGAGCTCTCAAGGTGCTGGACATTTTTAAACACATTGGCGTGCCACTTGGCACGCAACCAGAAATCTTTAGCATAATGCTGCAGCTAGAACCACAGATATCCTGAACAACTGATATTTTCAATCTTACTCGAAACCAGTCAATCCGCAAAGCTCAAACTAGCCACTTTCAGTACACTGTTCAGTTAAAAAAAACACTGTAGCTTCATGTTACCTTGACTGCTTCAGTATGCTGTTACAGACTTCGATTTTAATGTATATTAACCATATGCTTGGCAAATACTGTAAATAAAAATGCCAACTGTAATCAAAATCTGGCTCTTTTTTGAAATGAGTACATTCATCCCAGAAAATTCCCAAACTTACAGTCCCATCAATCAAAAGGCAGTTGAGTTTGTAGCCTAGTGCAAGGAGACTGGTGAATGCAAGTAGTAACACTGCTATTGTGCATCACAAGCAGCCACTCAGTTGTCCAGAGCACTTTCAAACTCAAACCAAGTGAAATTTGATTATTTAACATCCCAACTTTTTGTAACTACATTGTCTAATAATCAAAGCACAACATAAACAAAGCCAACGTCTTGCTTTTATCCATAGTATAACCAAGCACAAATCACTGTTAGCTCTTAAAAATAAAGAGAAAAAAATTAAACAACATGCCAACCACTCTATAATTAGGCCACTTAAATTCCTAATTCCTTGCCTTTTTAAATAAAAGTAAAGTAATCAAAACATATCAACTCAAATCAACAAGCTGAGCTACTACTTCTAGCTGAGAACGTGTATCATACCAGTATTGAAACTCGTTTCTCTCTCTCCACAACTATTGCCAGGTCTGAGTTTTCCAGCACTTTTAGTTTTCATTCACTTATTCCTTATGTTGTAAACGATTAGCAATGTTCTTATGACCCCAGCTGGTAACAAACTAGACAAACCAGATAACATTTGCAATTGGTTCTCATGCTAGTTACTGACTGATTGTAGTCAAGACGTTGTCAATGTTCTTTAACACAAGAACACACGATTATTGCATAAAAAAGATAAAGATGTATACAAGGCAGTTTAGAGAGATCCTAACATCACAACAAAAATAATCAACCTGTTGCCCAGCAAACATCCTGTAAAAACTTAACCGATTCTTTCCAGTTGTGAAGGCCTAGTTTACTTTGCAGTTCTGATGGCCTGGAAATGTCTTTCCAGCTGTGTTGGCCTAAAGCTCTTTTCAGTTCCCATAGCTTGGAAATTTCTTCACATACTCGTATGACATGACTTCACAAACTACCCTGCCCATTTGCTAGGGTGAAACTCTTCTTATGAACTGAAAACCTGATGAATTGAAACTTCAGTGGTCCCCAATCTATTTTCTCTAACATGTCATAAAATATAACTTGAAAACACCTCAATTAACTCCAAGGGCATGCTGTTCGGCACATACATAGAGTCACTGAGCATGGAAACAGACTCCTCTGTCGAACTTGCCCATGCTGACCAGACATCCCAAATCTGGCCTAGTCCCATTTGCCAGCATTTGGCACACATTCCTCTAAACCCTTCCTGTTCATATACCCATCAAGATGCCTTTTAAATGTTGCAATTGTACCCATCTCCACCACTTCCTCTGGCAGCTTGTCTCATACATGCACCACTCTGTGAAAAACACCCACTGAATGCAACTTTACCAAAATCTAGGATTTTAGGAACAGTATGCCTTTTTGAGAAATGTCGAGGATTGGTGAACTAGAAGGACTTCCTGACCTCAAAAATTTGCTTTCACAGAAATATAAGCCACACATTTTAAATATACTTTAAAATACAAACTCCCAAATATTATAAACTTTGATCATACTACATATACATTTCTGACCTGATATTGTTTCCCATTTAGATAATAGTCACTAATATACAGTATCACCTCATCTAATGATTAACTCACTCAAATATTTTCTATTCTCACGTATATGTGCCTTATAAAAGTGACAGAATCAGGCTTAAGGAGCCTTCAAGACTTACCATCAAATAAGATCTTACATTTGAGAAGATTATTACCATTGAGCCATTCTTTAATCTGTTTCTGTCCAAGGTTCTTCCACCTTAATTCCCAGGCTGACACCCAAAGACAAAAGGTGAGCAGAAAAGTCAAAATGCAGCAGTCCATCAGGCCATCATATGCAAGCACAATATGTATTATGCAATCCTGAGCTTCAGAATACAGTTAAACATGGAGATTCTCACACTTCTTTGTTGAGTTCACAGTTGCTGTGGCTCCAGGCTGAACAATACCAAAGAATAAAGGTATCTGTCAGAAGTTCATGGCTTTAATTCCAGTGTTCAAGCTGTTCTGCAAAAAAGGAAAACACATAATTTGAGAAAAATTAAGCCAAATAAATCATTTTAGTATATCTGTGACTTCTTCTCCACTAAAAATGAAATTTGGTGCGCACATCCCAGTAGAAAAAGTTGACAAGACTGAGTCTACTCAATATACCTGCCAGCTGATGGGCAATATATCATGAGCAGCTTGCACCAAAAATTTTAGTAAGCACTTACATTACCAAGCTACAACACTTAAAGTGCTTCAAAGGAAAGTCTGCCCTGTTTACATCTTTCAACCAACATAGAGTACCGAGTTCAAAATTTTAACATAACCATTTCCAGTGCTACTCATAAAAAGAAGCAGTGAAATTGGAACAGTGCACTATCCTGCTCACCTTTTAAAAGTGGACCAAAATCCACTCTTCAATGACCAGATAAATTCTCTCCTGACTGATTATAATGCTGCTACACAAAATTAGTTCATACACACTCAACCTAGCTCCCCATAAACCTGAAACCTCAACATAAACTGTCCTTAATTTGGGTAATGCAAAGGTGAAGTCACCATAGATCTGCTGCACCATCAGGCTCCTCTCATTAGGAGGAGGGTTTAACCTGACAGTCACCACACCTCAGGTGACGAGAGAGGTTGAGAAGACTCCTTCATGGTAACCTCAGCCAATCAATCTGGACTGAGCCCACATTGTTGGCATCACTGCATCACAAACACATTCAAGTTTTAATCCTTAGTTCTAAATAATCCTAGCTGTTTTGCCAAAATTAAAAAGAAAGATGTAAATAAAAACAAGTGAACAAGAAGCTTTTATGCTTTTGATCTTTATACTTGGAGGCTCTGCATTTTTCACCACCAAACATAATTATTTGGGGATAGGGTTAGTTTGAGTTTTTTTTAAATTAAAAACGCTTATACATTCTCAACTAGAAAACTGAGCACAATAATTAACATTCCGGTCTAGAAACGTCCATTCAGTTCAACTGTTCTTCCGGATGTCTTCTAAGTCTCGCTAGACCTGCTGCACTTCGTTGTTGAGTGAGGCCACTTGATCCTTCTAGTTCATCCATCCAATTCGGTTAATGTTCAACCAAATTCCCCAACAATCTGATTGTTAAATTAACCCATTAGGTTCTAAAACGGCGGAGCAGAATCATAAAATCAATCAAAGGAGGCCATCGGGCCACCTCTTCAGAAGAGTTGGCCTTCGCAGTTGCTCCGCTAATTTGACATTCGTGTGAGAGAAAAAGATAACTATTGCTAAAATAAGGAAGGTATTCCTCACGATTGAAAGGGGAAACAAACACTCGGTAGCGCAGCCAAGCAACTGATGCTTGAGTTGCGAAAGAGTTTCGACCTTCCCTTACTTGTTATGGTCAGTGTTTCATTAGGATTCAGCACCACACCCTTGACAGACACTAACCTGCACCCTCCACCTCAGATGATCCGCCCTCTTCATTTTGTTTCTAGGGACCTATAGCAACCGGAAGCTGCAAGGAGCCGGTCGCTGTGTTGATGACGTCTCCCAGCGGCGCTCACCGCTGACGCGAAGGCCACCCGGAGCACCGAGGAGGACAACATGGTAACGATGAGGAAAATCGGTCTCGGCCGCCTGTGTGGAAAATGCCTTACGTCCCTTGGAGATATTTGTCGGCAGCGGGAGCTTTTCGTTTTGAGTCGCAGAAAGAGGCCATTTGGTTCATCGTGTTCCATGCTGGTCCGCCCTGCCCAATCTCCTTTTCACATCTGAAGGAGGGTCACTGAACTTGAAACGTCAACTGTTTTTTCTCTTTCCACAGATACTGCCGGACTTGCTGAGTTTCTCCAGCAGTTTCTGTTTCCTCCCCGGCGTTTAGTCAGTGGCCCTGCAGCTAACCGTGTTTGAGGCGCATCTCCAGACTCCTTTGGAATGGGTTGAGGATTTCTGCATCTGCTCGCTATCTCCTTTCGGGAGATATTTCTCATCTTTCCTCGAATTTGTGTACCAACCACTTTAAGTCTATGCCTCCCATCCCTCCCCAAGACACTAACCACTTTGCTAAGGTCAATAGCAGCCCCGCCCCCCATCCATTTCGGCTCAGGCCCGTTCCCCTGTCTCTAGGATGACCAACGGTTAGTTTTCAGGGGAGGGTCTCCTTCCCCTATCTTCAGGATGATCGATCTTTGGGTTGGAGGGAATTGGTCTCTTTCCCCTTTCCAGCAGGACCAACTCTTTAGGAGGTGGGATTTGAGGGACATAACAAACGCCTTGACTAAGCTACAAGAAGCACAAGGGGTCAGAAATCCAAGTAAAAACCGAAAAATCTGCAGATGCTGTAAATCAGGAACAAAAACAGAAGTTGCTGGAAAAGCTGCCAGACCTGCTGAGCTTTGCCAGCAACTTCTGTTTTTGTTCAGAAATACAAGTGTTTTAGGAGGAAATGCTGTGGGATGAAGGAAAATGAATAAAGAAAGGATGATCCTGTGAAATATGGGACAGTTAGTTATACTACCCTTCCCCATTTTAACACTACTGAAATTAACCTTAAAATGTTGGCCTCGCTCATATTCTGTCAGTTTGTGTTAAACATTATGTGTTACATTTAAGATTCTTAACTTTTCAGCAGATATAATGGAGGACATTTCTACTGTAATTATCATTTTTGGAAAGTTTATGGAATAGTTTGAGATGAGGTGCTACATATACAGAAAAGAAAAGTAAAGTATAAATGAAAGTCATGTATTTATATAGCACCTTTCACATTCACATCTAAAAACACTTTATGACCAATGACATAACTTTTGAAATGCAGTCATTGGATATCTGAAAAAATATATCAGGATGAAGAACCAAAGGGCACCAATTTCAGATGATTGGTGAAAAACATGTCCATGTAGCATTCTTATTCTAATCTTAAAGCTATGTCACAACAATTCAAACTTTTGCTTACAGTTAGCATATTGTTTTTCTCAAGGAGACAAATTTGTTTCGATTTGTTAATTTTACTCTTGTGCTTTGATATCTCGCTGTTAACATTATTACTGTTTGCATGTGCCATTTGAGCCTCTTTTTAATTTCAAATTTTTTTCAGGGAAAAGCAAAGAAAGCTAGAAAATATGCAGTCATGAAGCGAATGATTAGTTTACGAGATTCACGAATGTAAGTGTTTTTTTTTTCAGTTAAGTTTAGAGGGAACTTAAAAGGATTGATGAGCCTAATGTTTGCTTTTTTTCTGCCACTCTGTTGTATTATTCTTTTTTATACTCTTTCATGGGATATGACCGTTGCTGGCAAGGACAGCATTTGTTGCCTTATTACCCTTAGACTAAGTGACTTTGTAGAGCATTTAAAGTCAACCAAATTGAAGTAATTCTGGACTCAGGTAGACCAGGTAAAGATGGCAGATTTTCTTCTCTAAAGGATATTAGTAAAACAGCCTTTTTTTTTACAAAAAACAAGAATAATTTTGCAGTCATTAACACAAACTTTAAATTCCAGATTTAATTACTCCAATTTAAATTCTGCCTGTTGTTTAATAGGAATTCAACAGGAAGAGCTTTCTATGCTCTTTCAGTTCTTATCTATGAAAATTATAATGGATGTTTATTTCTTTTAAAATGCTGTCAAAATGACAAGGTACCATTCTTGGTTTGACCCCCCATTTAAGACATAGAATGCAAGTTACAGCTTTCCTCTATTCAGAGCCAAAAATTCACACCTTAATCCTGGATCTATTCCAAGTTGGTAGATCTTGTTGGGGACAGTAATCAGATCCCTGCAATTTATCTCTATCCATTGAAAGAGGGAAAATTATTTTTTGCTTGCTGACTCTTGAAGTAAGTAGATGGATAGGGAAAGGAGGCTGTTGATTAAGCTATAATGTCATTGTAAGCAAGTAATCATTTGACATTCCCTGTCAAGTTTGTTACATGAATATCAGCTACTTTTATATTTGATGACAATCGATGGCTGGTGACCATGAAACCCTGGTAGGCGGTTTTGTGAAGTGCAAAAGTTGACAAGGGATGTTTCTAACTCTGGGTTTTTGAGCGATTTCTTACTTCCATCTGATGGCAGTTGATACAAACTGTGAATTTAGCTCCATCATATTACTGGTCAATATTTCCCCGAGTAACTGTTTAATATATAAGGTACTACATTTGTCTTTTTCCAGAAATGAAAAAGACAGAGCAAAACCACAGAAGAAAATGAAAGATGATCCTAGTGCTCTGAAAATAAAAGAAGTGTATGTATAAAACTCTGCTTTACAGATTATGTGCTTAAATTTGCAGTTTTATGTTGTTAAATTTAGTGAACATGAGGAATGGAATATATCTGTGCTGTCTTTAATGCAAACAGCAATGAGCACTCTCAGTACTTGTCAAAGTATAGCACAGTACAGGCTCTTCGGCCCACAATGTTGTGCTGACCTAATAGCCTACTGTAAGATCAAAACTAACCTGCATACCCTTCATTTCACTATCATCCATGTGCCCATCCAAGAGTCGCTAAATGTCTCTAATGTATGCTGACAGGCTTGCTTTATCAGAATTTCACTTTATAACGACTACTGGTTCCTTCGCAACTTTGGGATTCTTTGCTGAATAACTGCAGTAGTATGTTGAACCATCAACATTCTGCATCAAGGACATTGTGCAATATATGCCCATTCTTGATCACTAGTATTTAGGCAGTCCCTTCAGACCAAGGATGACTTTCTATCTTTTAGGAGTTGTGGATCCTGAGTCATAGTCATAGAGCTGAACAGCATGGAAACAGGCTCTTTGATCCAACTCATCCATGCAGAGCAGATATCCTAAATTAATCTAGTCCCATTTGCCAGCATTTGGCCCATATCCCTCTAAACCCTTCCTACTCATATACCCATCCAAATGCCTTGTAAGTATTGTAATTGTACCAGCCTCCACCACCTCCTCTGGCTGCTCATTTCATACGCACACTATCCTCTGTGTGAAAAAGCTACCTCTTAGGTACCTTTTAAATGTTTCCCCTCTCACCTTAAACCTATGCCCTTTAATTTTTGACTCTCTTACCCTGGGAAAAAGACCTTGACAATTCACCCTATCCATGCCCCTCACAATTTAATAAAGCTCTATAAGGTCACCTCCCACAGCCTCCAACTCTACAGGAAAACAGCCCTAGCCTATTCAGCCTCTCCCTATAACTCAAATCCTCCAAACCTGACAACATCCTTGTAAATCTTTCCTGAACCCTTTCAAGTTTCACAACATTCTTCCAACCGTAGGGAGACCAGAACTGAACGCAGTATTCCAAAAGTGGCTGAACCAATCTCCTGTACAGCTGCAACACAACCTCCCAACCCTAATATTCAATGAGGTGACTAAACAATCCATTGTTGGATGCTTGAAAGAGTTTAACCTTCTCTGATGTCGCTTCTTCAGTTTGGGTGGTCTAGGCCAAAAGATTCTGACACACCATGTTGCATATTTGATTAGTCAATAGAGTGACATACATGATAACTCATTTTAGTGTTTGGACCTTCAAACCGAGCTGCTGAGAAATTCAGATTACTTGGGAATTCTGTTTGCCTGCTTTACAACCACTACCTATAGAAATAAATGCTCCATGCCCTATTTATGTAACATTGGCAGTTGTAATATAGGTTAGAGTATAATTGGCTAAACCTGTCTGGTCTAGCAGCATGCAAACTTTGGCAGGCATCCTGCTGCTTTACTAGTACATCTGCTTGATTTGCAGTGCTGTCTACAATCACAGCACCCAATGACTGGATTGCCCCCTTTAAGTTCAATGAGTGTGTACTCTTTACCCGTCTTTACCCCAAACTTGTTGGAATTATGATAGCTGTCATCCCCACACACCCAATTGGTCTGTTCACACTACTTTCAAGTTCTTGTTCAAAATCTCAGGATCCCTTTAGTTTTTAATCAACAGTTGCCTTTAACATGGCAGGAAAACCTACAAGGAAGCTTACTACATCATTACTTGTGTTGGCTACAAAATGCGCATCAAGCATATTCCTTACCAGCTTATTGATTCAAATTGTCATCTGAATAACTTTGGCAAAGAATTTGATAGAAAAAGTAGGTGTTACCTTCTTAATAACCAAAATAGAAAGAAGAAAGAATACAACATAGGGTGGAATTTGCTCTCGTCCAAATTATTAAATATTGCATAGTAGGCTAGTAGAATCTGGTGACAGGGTAAAGTACTGGACAATATGGTATGGTATTAGCTCAGTGGGAATTCTGAGAACTTGAAAATTTTCACATTGTTCATTCATAGATAAGTATCTCAGCAAAACATGTTAAAAATATTCCTTGGTTGCTTTGAAATTTTGAAAACAACATGACAATCATTTTTAATTAAAATACATTAAAAATAATTTTTTTTATTTTTGAGAAATTACAGACTTTCCTTGTTACTTTCCCAGGGTCAAGTATCCTTCTTGCCTGTTTTTCCAATATAATACACAGCTGGGTCCTCCCTATTATATCCTCGTTGACACCAATTTCATCAATTTCTCCATCAAGACTAAGCTGGACATCGTGCAATCGATGATGGACTGCTTGTATGCAAAGTGTGAGTGCTTGTCAGGCATTTAGTGTGTAATGTAATTATTTATTTATCTGTTCTATTATCTTCATGCTGGATGTTATTTTGATTTTATTTAGTACTGTCATGTGTACTGAGGTACGGTGAAAAATATTGTCTTACATGCTTTGCAGGCAGATCACACAGCACAAATGCATTAGAGTAACAGAACAGAGCGCAGGATACAATGTTACAACTGCCAAGAAGGTGCAGGAAGAGATCAATATTAACATTAAAGAGGCCCATTCAGAAGTCTGATCAAGTCTGATTTTGAGTGAGGATGTAAATTTTATTTCCTCCTCTCATCAGTACTCTAATCTACCTATGTCTTGTTCACTGCAAGTGCCTCAACCAGTTTGGAAAAAGTGGGTATTCCTTCAATGCCTTTCCCTGTGGGCATTTTCTCCTCCTCCCTCCTAGGATGGAACTCCGACAAAGAACAATATTTAAGGTTATGAATCAGTAATACAAGCTCAAATAAGCATTAGAGTTAGGGATTTTACTTGAACTTGTATTAATATCTGTGGGATCAGTTATAGGACAATAGGTACAGGGAAAGGCTGCATTTATTGTTTACCCTGACAGCATGTTTTAAATATTTTTCTTTGCCTTTTTCTTAATATAATGAAGTGCTTCCATTGACAAGAGGCTTTCTGCAGGATTCATAGCTTAAAACAAGGAGACTGCAATGTAGCTCCTCCTCCAGACAGTGTTCACTGTCAGCACAGCTTCAGGCAGCTTATTTATGATTTGTACAGCTTAATTGATCTTGAATCTGCAGACTGAGTGTCTCTGCACAGTTAGGAGATACTCAATGTCAATATGCATTCAGCAACTATCTGTGTGTATAATTGGTGTCAAGGTTAACATTGGATAGAAGATTGGCGAGCTAACGAGAAGCAGAAAGTGGGGCAAATTAGTCACTTTGTTACATGTTGTGAAGAGTAACAAATGGTGTGCCACAGGGATCAGTGCTCAGACTTCAACATTTTTAAATTTCTATAAATCATTGGAATCAAGGGACCGATGGTATGGCTACTGATTTGCTGATAACACAAATATAAATAGGAAAGGAAGTGTCTAAATTTAAAAAAAAGCGTATTATGTAAACTGTGAGAGATTGCAGACCTCTGAGGTGCAACGGGATCTGGATGTCCAAGTTCATGAATTGCAAAAGGTTAGTAGGCAAGTACAGCAAGTGATTTGCAAAGCTCATAGAATGTTAACACTTATTGCAAGGGGAATTGAAAACAAAAATGGGATGATTATGCTTCAGCTACACAAATAATACCACACCTTGAGTACAGTGTACAGTATTGATCTCCTTATTTAAGGAAATATGTAAGTGTACTGAGCACAGGTCAAAGAAGGTTTACTAGACTAATTCCTGGGATGACTAGGTTGTTTTCGGAAGGAAGGTTGAACAGACTAGGCTTATATCCACTGGAGTTTAAGAGAATAAAAGGTGACTTGACTGAAACATAATGGTCATGAGTGATCTTGACAGGGTGCATGCGGATAGAATGGTCCCTCATGGGAAACTCTAGAACTACAGATTGCTATTTAAAAATAAGGTATTGCCCATTTAAGACAGCAATGATGAAAAATTATTTCTTACAGATGTTTATAAGTCTTTGGAATGCTCCTCCTGGAATGACCGTGGAAGTAAAGATATTGAATACTTTTAAGACAGAGATAGATTCAAGATAACAAGGTGAAAGGTTATCAGGGTAGGCATGATTGTGGAGTAATAATACCAGCTGTGATCTTATTGAACAGCAGGGCACATTCAAGGAGCCGGGTAGCCTACTCCTGCTCTTTGTTTCTATATCTGTTCAGCTTTTTGCATGAAGGGGCTGAATTAGCAGAATTTCAAAATGTTACATTAACATTACAATTAGTTTCTTAATGGAATTTGATGATGGAGCTAAATCTCAGAGGCATCTTTAGCCACAAAGTAACATTTTTTAAATGCTAGAGGATAATGCAAGTGATCAAAGGATTGTGAGTACTGCCTGATTCAGCGATGTTTTCAAGCTGTAAAAATTGTTGGTAATGGACAACAGCAAAAGGAAGGTCTTAAAATATTTTCTTGCAATTTGAACCGTGAATTCTGCACCAGGTACAATCAATTCAAAAGTACTACATAATGCTAAATCTAGGAGAGCAAAGCAGATGCTGAATTTTGAGGGAAGGGAGGCAAGATTATATTGTCAGAAACTATTTCGGCAAACTAAGATTTTTTTTCTTAATTGCCTCATTCACATGAGCATAATCTGTACAGTTTCTGTAATCTGATCTGTACAGGGAAATGGATAGATCGCTTTTGCATTTAAATTTAAAAAAACTTCATTTGTTTTTTACATCTCCCACTTCCTTCCTTTCATGCAGGACATCTCCCCTGATCTCTCATATAGCATTCTGGATTTTGAATTTTTACTTTGTAGCAAAAAATGCCAGCTTTTGCTCCTTTAAGAATGATTCCCATCTTCAAATTTCAGGCATTGGGACATTCCCAGTCTCTCAATTACTAATCGTTAGAACAGAGAGAGAGAAAGAGAGAATCAGAAATGCACACAGCCAACACGAAACTCACTAATCTACATTAGGACTGGAAAATGGAAACTTGAGGACATAGAAAAGAAGGACACAGAAAGATATGCAATATGACAGGCAATGGATCTACACTGACAGAGGGAGTATCTCTTAGTATTCAGTGGTATAAACATTACTGAATGTCCCATTGTCAACATCCTGGGGGATTACCATTGACTAGAAACTGAACTCGATAAGCCATATAAATGATATGGCTACAAGGGCAAGTCAGAGGTCATGAATTCTGTGGTAAGTAATTCACCTCCTGTCTCCCCAGTGCCTGTCCACCATCCACAAGACACAAGTTAGGAGTGTGATGGATTACTCTCCACCTGCCAGAATGAGTGCAGCTCCAACAATACTCGAAGTTTAATGTTGTCCAGGAAAAAAACAGCACACTTTATTGTCACTCGATCCAATATCTTCAACATTCATTCCTTCCACCATCAACAGGTAGTATGTACCATCTACAAGATGTCCTGCAGTAATTTACCAAGGCTCCTCTAACATCACCTTCCATACCCACAACCTCTAACACCTAGGTCAACAGATTCATAGGAACACCACCAGCTGCAAGCTCCCCTCCAAGCCATACTCTCTCCTGATTTGGGACTATATTGTCACTCCTTCACTGTCATCAGGTCAAAATCCTGGAAGTCCTTTCCACAACAAGCAAGAGTGCGTTAACAAAAACGTACATACAGAAGAAACTGGGAGACATACACACGCATACACACATGTACAATTTAGACTAGACATACAAGATTGCAAAATGAATTTGGCTATTTTCTGCAAAGGATGGAGTTGTTTCATGAGTTAATTGTAAGTGATCATTTACATAAAATTGTGAAGAATCAGACACAACCATATGTTAAGCAGTGCTTCTTGTAAGATGGGCACAGCTGGCAAGGATGCTTTAAGATTAAAGAGAGAGGGAGAGACAGAATTTCCACAACAAAATAAAGCGTAGGATAAAAGATGTGACCTCTGAATTTTCTCTAGGTGTACCGTGTATTACGGATTGTGTGATGGCAGAAATTGAGAAGCTGGGACAGAAGTACAGAGTCGCACTAAGGTAAAATAACTTCTCAAACAGGATCATCAATGTTTCAGTGCAATTCGAATACTCAATCAGGAATAATTGTGGTTTTTATTCATTCATTTATTGTGAATGGTGATGTCAAGGCGAGCATTGTTTACTCATCCCCATTTGTCCTTGAGATGGTCATTGTGAGCCACTTCTTGAACAGCTGCTGTCCCTGTGGTGAAAGTATAATGTTCAGGAGGGTTCCTGGGATCTTGACTGAAGAATGCTGAAGGAGCAGTGATATATTTCCAAGTTAGGATGCACAGAAACTTGGAGTGATGATGTACCATGGGGAGGTTGCCTTTCTCCATTAATGATACTCGTTTTTCATTCCAGGTTTATTTAATTGACTGAACTTCAATTCTACATCTACAACAGTGGCATTTGAACACACGCCTCTGTGTCATTTGACCAGGCCTCTAGCTTGCTGGTAGGAGATATTAATGTGCAGTGGGTAGCATCTCTCTATTTCTGAGCCAGTAACTCTGGATTTAATACCCACATTAGGACTTGATCGTCATGGAAGATATTGTGCCCTCAAACAGACTGAACAACATGGCCAGAAAGATTACTTTTCAATCTGTAAATCCTTCCACTATGCCTGTGACAGGCGGTAAGAATGGGAAAGTCCCCTGGTCAGTCAGAGCCTCACGTGGTAGGTTTAGCACAAGAACTTCCCACATTAAAAGACTCAAACACAGAGGTTCTTACCACGAGCTGTATTCTTTGGCAAGTATCCCCCCAGAAGGTACAGCTCACTAGTCCAGTAACATAACCACTGGGTTACATACAGAGTTCCTGAGGCACTGAAAATACAAGCAGTAGCTATTATGTGCATATTTTAAGCATGAGATCTCCTGTTCTTAGTACCGCAGAAGAACTCTTGAGTGTTTCTGAAGCTGTCTGGGCAAGTGAAAACATACATGCTGGGATAAGAATCAAAGGTTTACCAACAAGAATAAGTCTATCACATGGAGACCAAAAATATCTACAGAGAAGAAATTGGAAATGTGTTCAGTGCCAGTCGTTGGAAAAGGATGATTTATTCCTGAATTTGTAACATTTTTGTTGACTTTTCCAGAATAGCAAAGGATCCACGGTTCGAGCGATTACCCTGTACACACAAAGGAACATATGCTGATGATTGTCTAGTGCAGCGAGTCACACAGGTAAGTAAAAATTCACTCGTTATTTAACAAAATATTTTTAAAACAATCATATTTTAGTTGTTTTCCCCCACTAATATCTGCATTTTTATGACATTGGGCTACTGTTTTATGAGTACCACTAGTGTCTTGCAATTTGTACAAATGGCCACTCTTCATATGTAGCCCTGAGGGATAGAACCTCGCCCACTGTCTGTACACTTGCATGTTCCAGCAATATTTATTACATAATGGGTGTAACATGGGAGTAGGGCAATGGTAGCACCCCCAACTACTATTCCAGTTGTGATAACTTAATACTTCCAAGATTATGGTTTGAATGTGAGACACTCCATGTACGTATGTCCATTCTGGCCTTAAATTTACTTCCAAGGTTGTAACAGTAGTCTAGACTATTTGCATTTCATCTTGAGTGCTGTCACTGTACACAAACTTGAGTTTAAATGTTGAAGAAAATCAAAGACTAGTTAGTTCATTGCTAAAAAAAGTACTTTGCTCCATCGAGTCTGAACTGACTGTTTCAAAGAGCAATTCACTTTGTTCTACTCCTCTGATCCTTCCCCGTGTTTCTGCAATTTTTTGTTCCTTCAAATAATACTCTGATCCCCAGTTTAAAACTATTGAATTTGTATATGCTAACTTATCAGGCTCTGCATTCCAAATCATGACAACAACGACATATAAAAGCCTGTTCCTTATCACCTCTGGATCTTCCAACAATTATGTTAAATTTGTGCCTGTGGTTATCAAAGCTTCAGCTATTAAAAACAATTTCTGTTTATTGACTGTTATCCAAACGTTTCACTATTTTAAACAACTCGATAAAATTTGCTCTTGGCCTTCTCTACTTTAAAGAGAACAGACCAGTTTCTCCAGTCTATCCAGAAAATTGTAATTCTTCATCCCTGGGTGCACTCTAGCAAATCTCCTCTGTGTCTCCTCCAGCAATCTCGCATCTATCCTGAAGTGCAGTGGCGAGAATTAGACACAATTTTTCTTTCAAAAGGCATCTTTCAAATTTCCCTTTGCTCTCATTTGCAGCACAAATGTTACATTGTGGCGACAGTGGACAGAGATCTCAAGAGGAGGATCCGAAAAATTCCAGGAGTCCCTATTATGTACATCTCTAATCACAAGTAAGAACTTAAAAAACAGTAAAAGCTATTTATGCTGCCCATCGTCCATAAAATTAGACTCAATATTTACAGTTTCTTTCTTATAAAATTCATATCCTTCTGGTATCTGATGATTTCAAAATCTACCAATTATCTTCTGAAGTTAGACAAAGCAGAGCCAATGAATGTGATCTTTTTGGATTTCAAGAAGGCCTTTGACAAGTTGCCAGCAATCCTATAGAGAATTCCACAGATTCCACTACCCTTTGAATGAAGAAATATTTTTTCTTCTCCATCCTAAGTAGCCTACCCGATATATAAGATAAATAAGATTAGATACCTAGATAGGAATAAGGTACTGGCATGGATAGAAGATTGGCTCTCTGATAGAAGGCAGAAAGTGGGAATAAAGGACACATTTTGCAGTTGGTGTCTAGTGGAGTTCCGCCAGGGTCAGTGTTGAGATCACAACTAATCACATCATACATTGATGATCTGGATGAAGGAACAGAGGGTATTATTGCTAATTTTGCAGATATCATAAAGGTATGTGGAGGAACAGGTACTGTTGAAGAAGCAGGGAGTTTGCCAAACAACTTGGACAGGCTAAGAGACTGAATAAAGAAGTGGTGGATGGAATACAATGGGGAAGTGTGAGGTTATGCACTTCAGTAGAAAAATAGAGACACAGACAATTTCCTAAATGGGGAAAGGCTTCAGAAATCTGAAGCACATAGGAACTTGGGAGTCTTAGTTCAGGATTCCCTTAAGATTAACATGCAAACTGAGATGGCAATTAGGAAGGCAAATGCAAATTTGTATTTGTTTCGAGCAGGCTAGAATACAAGAGCACGGATGTACTACTGAGGTTGTACAAAACTCTGGTCAGACCGAATTTGGAATATTGTGAGCAGTTTAGGGCTGTGTCTGGAAGGAAGGATGTGCTGGCAGTGGAAAGGCTCGAGAGGAGGTTTACAAGAATGAACCCAGGGATGAAGGGCTTATCGTATGAAGAGCACTTAAGGACTCTGGGTCTGCACTCAACGGAGTTTAGAAGGATGAGGGGATATATGAATGAAACTTGGAGAATACTGAGAGGCCTGGACAGAGTGAATTTGGAAAAGATGTTTCCACCAGGAGGAGACACTGGGACTCAAGGGCACAGTCTGCGTGAAAAATATCTTGAGTATTGCAGAAAAAGATACATTTTGCCAAAGCTTTTCATGTTGCACCCATCAGGACTGGTGTCCTTGTACACTCGTCAATGAAAGTAGACAGGTGCAACAAGTAACTCTGAAGATAAATGGTATATTGGTCTTCATTGCAAGAGGATTTGAGTTCAGAAGTCTTCTTAAACTGCAGTTATTCAGGGGCTTGGTGAGACCATATCTATGTATTTCCTTCAGTTTTGATCACTATCTAAGAAAGGAGCTATTTGCCATAGAGAAAGTACAGCAGAGGTTCACTAGGCTGATAGCAGGAATAGCAGGACTGACCTATGATTAAAAATTATTGAATTAGGTTTGTTCATAGAATCCCTACAGTGTGGAAACAGTCCCTTCGGCCCAACAAGTCCACACCAACCCTCGGAGCATCCCACCCAGACCCATCCCCCTATAACCCATCTAATCTACACATCTGTGATTACTAACGGCAATTTAGCATGGCCAATCCACCTCGCCTGCACATCTTTAGACTGTGGGAGGAAACCAGAGCACCCGGAGGAAACCCACGCAGACACGGGGAGAATGTGCAAACTCCATTCACCACAACTTAGAAGGATGAGTGTGGATCCAATTGAAACATTTAAATTATAACCAGGCTGGACAGACTAAATATAGGGAGGACCTTTTGCCTGTTTGCAGGAGTCTGGAGCGAGGGATCATGACCTTAGGACATGGGGTAGGCTACTTAGAACTGACATGAGAAAATATTTCTTCATTCAAAGAGTAGTGAACCTGTGTCATTCACTACAGAAGTTGTGAAGGCCAAGTAAATATATTAAAGAAAGAGATTTTTTGGAAATTTTGAGGTCGTCAAAGGTATGGAAATAAAGCAGGAATATGTCTTTGAGATAGTGAATCAGCAGAAATTATGTTCAAGGGCAGAGCAGGCTTCAAGGGCCAAATGACCCACTATGCAAAGGCGACAGCCTATGGTATTATTGTTAGTCTGTTAATCCAGAAACTTAGGTAATGTGCTGAGGAGCTGGCTGCGAATCCCACCATGGCAGATGGTGGAATTTGAATTCAATAAAAATCCTGGAATTAGGAGTCAATTGATGATCACAAAGCCATTGTTGATTGTCGGAGAAAACGCATGTGGTTCACTATGTCCTTTAGAGAGGGAAACTGGTCTGGCTTACATGTGACTCTAGACCTACAGTAATGTGGTTGACTCTCAACAGCTCTCTGCGCAATTCCTGATGGCTAATAAATGCTGGCCAAGCTAGTGGTACCTTCATCCCGTGAATGAATTCAAACAAGAGTTCCTCCTAGTTTCTGTGTTTTCTTGTGGGACAATTTGCAAGAACCAATAAACGGAAAAGCCAAAAGGTATACTGTATGAGAGGAGATACTGTTTGGTAGACAAGTAGACTCTGCCTGATAGAATGTTGCCCTGGAAAATGCAGAAGATAATGATGGTTGACTATTAATTGTCAGAGTTTGTTTAAATTTGAAACTGTGCAGGTTGACTTTGGTCAGGGAATTGCCCTGAGAAATGAACCTGCAAATGGCTGTCACCTGTTCTAGTGTTGGAACAGGTGCACGGAGTCCATGTGTATTTTCTGTCAGCGAAGAACAGGGCACTGTGTATTAACATATGTAGCTTCTGGTACACTCAAGTGTAGCACACTGCAAGTCTAACAAACAAACCTAAATTGGTTCTTAGTTTAGTTCTTCACACACGAGATTATCTACCAAATGTTGTCCAATTGCAGAATCATGTCTAATGTTTGACTCCATTGCAGGTTTTGCAAGTGCCAGCTGGTTGGGTATGGTCAGTAACTTACTTGTTGCAAACAGCCAAAGGGATATGCCGTAAGGATCCGCCAGGCTTTTTGATGCACAACCTACATAACTGGCATCACGCTGGCGCTGAATTCATGCAGCATGTTATTCATTTGTGTGATAGGCAAAAGGTCTTTTTGACTTGATGGCCACATCCTATTGTGGCAAAGACCACTTTTGTTGCTATTACATAGTACCAGTGTGAAACAGATGCCCATGATGGGACACTACGTTACACCACCATATCCTCTAAATGAACTTACTTGCTGACATGGGCTTATGTTTGTGCACTGTTTCTTCCCATCACATTCTCATTGTTTAATCATCTCATACCTACTGCCTTATGCTTTCCCCTCTCCAAAACCTGCCACACTCCAATATTCATTCAAACTCCTATTTACAGTGGCTCAATTGTGGTTCAAATGAAGCCCATCCCTGACGCAACAGCTCATTCTTTCCTAGTATTATTGGCAATGCCTGGTTAATTGAAACGCATTTTTCCCATCAGATCTTTGAGCCAGGTATTCAATTATTTGATCATATTTACCATATGCCTACTTGCTTCTGATTTGGGTAGTAGTCCAGAGAACCCTGATTCTGCTATTTAGCTTCGAGCTGTAGATAGTCTCTTTATCTTACTTATACATGGGTACCAATTTGGACCTTGGCAATTGGATCTTTCCTCAATCATTCCAAGTTCTGGAGTTAAAAGCTAGCCATTTATAATGGCAACCATGAAAGTGCCATCTCATGTCACAAAAACCCAACTGGAAAGAAAATCTGTCCTTAACTGGTCTTACTTATGAATCTACAATCACGTGATTCACATATAAGTGCCCTCTGAAATGGTCTATAAGGCCACTCGGTTCAAAGGTAAATAGGGCGGGACAACAAATGCTGCCCTTCCCAGTGACACCTGAATCTCCTGAAAGAAGAAAGGAAAAAATATGTTCAGAATTGGGAAAATAGTTAATTCAAAACTGAAGGTTACTTATCTTAATGCACGTAGGATATGTAGCAAGGTAGAAGAGTTAATGACACAAATAAAAATAAACATAATGACAATCAAATTTTACCCTGAGGTTACAAGGTGACCTGTACTGGAAACGAACTATTCCAGGGTGCTTGACATTCCAGAAAGATACAAGAAAGGAGAATGGAATAGTTTAGCTGTATTAATAAAAGATGAGATCAGTACTGTAATGAGAAATACTCTTGGCTCAAGATCAAGGTGTAGAATCAGTTTGATTCGAAATATTCAACACCAAGGGAAATGGATATTGGTGGAGTCTATACTGTAGCTGCTGTGTAGGACTGAGCATAAATCAAGAATTAACAGGGCTTGTAAGAAAGATACTGCAGTAATCGTGATTAACTTTAACGTTTGTATAAATTGGACAACCTAGTTTGCCATTCCATTCTGGATCCTCTGGCAATATAGCAGTCATTCAATAATATTTCCATACTGAGGGGTTGCTGTCTTTTGGATAAATTATTAAAGCAGGTCTAATCTGTTTCTCTGAAAGAGAAGGATCCTATGGCACCACATGAAGAGCAACAATATTCGATCAGGGGTATTGCTAACTTCAATTCCTCAACTAACAGCTTTAAGCACGTTAGCTGACCATTTATCCCAATGCTGGTTGTGAAGCTTCATTGTGTGCAAAACTTGGTTACCACATTGCTCGATATTACATAAGTGACTGAGCTTCAAAGTTAATTGTCTGTGAGGCACTTAGAAACATCTTGAGGTCATGAGAGTTACTCCTTTCATATACGTATGCTGAACAAATTGTGTTGGTAAGCAGTTTGACATTTAACACTGTCCAATTTTGTTTTCAGATACAACATTGAACGGATGCCGGATGACTATGGTGCCCCCAGATTTTGATAAGGCAGCAAAATTCTGCTTACACCAAAGGATTGGTGTTTGCTGTTTGTCAGTGACCTCCGTAGCTTCTGAATAAAAACTTGGGGCATGTACAGGTTCCACAAAAATGTAGAAAGGATTTTTGTTTGATAGTAAACTGAGTTGTTATTTTGAGATAAAAAGTTTTAAACTGTAAGTGGGATTGGCTTCCAACTTATTTTCCTTGAATGTCTTCCACTCCCTGGTTATGTTTCCGTTTGGTGACGTTACAGTGCCAACGATTCAAAAATTCCAATGCATCATCTTTGGATCTTGGCAATGATGTCAAGTTGTAGAAAGTGACATCTAGGCCTCATTTTATCTTCTTTGTAACATCATGTGAATACTTCCAACTAGAGTATTGTTTACCAGTTGGAAGTGGGAACTCCAAATGAGTTATCCTAAATCTAGGAAACCCATGTCAGGTAGCACCCTTATTCAATATTGACTATGATAAGCCAGCTCAATACAAGTGAAGAATTGAATAAATATCACTTTGTGTGCCTGAGAGGTGGTGATTTTACCATTTTTCGCAATGTATGATGTTGTACAGATTTACTTTTCAATATTATATTTAAACAATTATTATCACTGTATCTGTTCTTTGGTTTGTTTTGGACCTATAGTTGATACATTTAAACATCCAATTCAAGACCAGGAAATAATCTTACCATTGTACAAACCTATCCACAGTGATGGACAGAACTTTTTGGATTATCCCTCCTGTCCCACACAATTATGATTGAGTTGGCAGGAAATTTCCACTCTGACCCTCCTGGGCAATCAAAACTAGAGCAGGAAGTCCCTTCAGCTCTTTATAGTTTTATGCTGTGCCTTATATACTCCTAAGTCATATATATATATATATATATATATATATATATATATATATCATTTACAAATTAAATTGACTGCTATGTGTATTTACCTTGCATCCTTAAAACGTGGTTCAAACCTTGAATAATTAATCCTACACCATAATAAAGTTTGTTATTTTGCTTTTTGTACATTCAGGTTTACAGTGACTGTGAGCGAGAATGCTCAAAGATTTACCTATTAGCAAGTATCTGTACTGAGAAATTCTGGTTTGTTTTCACTTGAAAGCATTTAAAAATTATTTTTCTTGTTTTTTTTTTTGAAAAGACGATCCTTGAAGATTGAGTTTACTCACCTGCAGAATTAATGCGCAAATAAAATCAGTTTAATTGCAAAGAGAAATAACAAATTGTTTTTACAAACATTAGAGGGAATTTTGTATTCATATTATAAAAGACCATTTGTTGAGATAAGTAATTTTAATCTAGAAGACTCCACTTAAATCTATGGATCTATGTATCTGCCTTTCCCGAGAAGGGCCTGTTCTCGTGTTGTACAGTTCTAATCAATGGTGCTGTATTACAGAAAGCTAATTGGTAATGTACAGCAATGTTAAAGTTAGTGAACTGGTCATTTTAATCCAGTCAAAATCAGCAGTTCTGCAGTCTCTGACTTCCATGAGCCTGGAAGAATGGTAACATTTGAGGAGATGTTCTAAGAACCATTTAATTGTGTTGTGTTTCATGATCTTGAGACATAAACGTGAAAAAGAAAGAAAAGCATTCTGCAGGATGTACAATTCAAAATTGCAGGACTTCACAACATTGGAATTTCTTGCTTCACTCAGTCTTCTCTTCCATGATATTCAGGCTTAAAAAACGCACATTGACATGACCCACTAAATAATTCCGGTTGATCCAAGGGGTCTCTTTTTTTGTTCATTTTAATTTTGTTGGTAGACTGCACTATAAAGTTGACAATATTGTTCAATATTACAATTGCAAAAAAATGCTCATTTGAAGAGATAGCTAGGAACTGGAAAAATACAGAATGGCAAATCACCTCAAAGTTACCAATTGCTTTTAAACTAAATCAGTGCCCACAAAAATGTTTAGAAAAAAGTACTGTTCAATGCTTCTGTCCAAAGCAATTTAGTAGAGACTTAAGTTTCACATCTGCAAAGTATCCTTTCAGAAAACCTGTGTGATAGATCCACTTCATTAGATCAAAGTGTATATCAACATTTTGCCTGATACTGGGTAGTTGGTGACACTTTTGACTTTAAGATCAGTTTCCAATCTCCTATTCATGCCATTACTAAAACTGCCTGTTACCTCATCCTTTACTTCACCTGTGCCTTAGTTCATATGCTGCTGAAACCCTAATTCATGTCTTTGTTACCTCTGGACATGACTCTTTCAACACACTCCAGCTGGCTTTCCACATTTTACCCTCTAAAATTGAGGTAATTCCAGACTCTGATGGTCATGTCTTTACAAACACCAAGTTTCATTCCCTGTCCCTTCTGTACTCACTGACCTACATTAGCTCCTTGCCAAGAAATGACTTCACTTTAAATTTCTCAATCTTTTATCAGTTCTTTCAATGTTCTTGTGTCCCACAGTTCCACAAACCCTGGCATACCAGCATTGAATTTATTCTGGCCTTTTGTACATCTCCAATTTGGCTGAATCTTCACCTGCATAGGTTCCAATTTCTGCAATATCCTCGCTATACCTATTCCACAACTTGCTTTCCTCCTCTGAAGCATTCCTTAAAACTAATCTCTTTGATCAAGCTCATGTCTCTAGGTGTCTTGGTGTTATACTTTGCTTTAGAATGCTGCTGTGAAGCACCTTGGGCTGACCCATTACTTTAATTTTTTGTTGAATGCTGATCTGCATGATGGAATGCCACTGAAAAATTGTTAAAACTAGGCTATTCAATTGCATTGGCCTGCTTTGCAGCCAAAGGTTAGATCCATCTCTGTAGAATGTATGGCGAAAATAGAAATTTCTTTGTGGATTTGTAAAGTTTCAGTCAGTGGTTTACAACAAAGGCCACCTCAGTAAATAAATAATGAAACATTATATTAGGTAAAACATAGACAGCAAACTTTTAATTAACCAGCACCTACGGGACCAGAAGTGTGCCAGTTGATCAAATATTCCAGCTGATGAAGAAGTCCACGTAATCAATTAAAGACACAAAGTAATAGACATGTAATGTAGGGGGTATACACATCACTGTTGTACTTTATTTACAACATAAATCACTTAAATAATAATACAACTTTGCCTTAAATAAACCTTACCAGCAGAGAGCCTTCTCATTCACTCCTGCAACTGATTACTCAGCGATTGTGATAATACAGTAAACTTTTGCTATAAC